CGCAGCCAGGTAGTGAGCCTAGGGGACACTGTCCTGAAAGGACAAACCCGAAGGTAATTGCAAAGCGAGGGCTTCGGAATAATGTCCACCATGGGCTCTTCCTCAATGGAGAATTAACACTTGATTGCAGGGGGAAAATGTTCAAACTTCAATCTTCTGCAAGTATAGATAGATTAGATAGATAGATAGATAGATAGATAGATAGATAGATAGATAGATAGATAGAATTAAAAGGCCTATTATAAATAAAACCACTTGAGACTGCATATCACGTTGCTTAGTAGTATGTGCACTTAGCACGCTCGGTGCCTTCACCCTCTCGTTTGCAGGGGTGAAGCCGCTGTCAGCACCATACTTTTCCAAGTGAGTTGGGCCGGGTTTTGGGCGCTATTTCGTGCACTATAATTCTGCAATGAGACACTGGAGGGGGGAAGGGAGCAGCGATGTCCCGCAGATCTTGGACAAACAAGAACAAAATATGTTCAAGTGTTTGTCTTGTTGGTTCTTTGAGAATGAAACCCTGGATTTGCACTTGCCAAACACATGATAATGAACTAACCCGGTAACTATCATATTTTAGATGAATCCAAAATTGTTATAAGGGAAAAAGTCCTTTCCATCGGGGAAAAAGTGATTTTTTTCACTGTAAAAATGTGGAAAACATTTGGTTAGCATAGCATTGTTTTAACAAATGGGGCATCTTGACTACCTCCTATATCACTGCTGTCTGCTAGGACACAGATCCTGGCTGCTAAGCTGCTCTCAGGTCCAGGATGGACCCACCCTTTCTTTATAGATGAATGCAGAGGTATGCAATCCTAGAGGGGTCTCACACACACGGGATCAGCTAAAGGGAAATGAGGCAAATCTATTAATAATGTATTTACTGTGTGCTTCGTCTTGTCCTGTTGTCAATATCTCAGAGTAGTCCCAAAGCAAATATTTCCCTTGTTATCTTGTATTAATTTTGTTTGACAAGGGAAAATCAAAAGTTTAGAAGAAAATGACAAACATAACAAAATTAAATTTTTTATTAACCAAATTACAAAAAATATGGTGAAACTTTTTTTCATAGAAGCAAGCTCAAAGTCAAATTTTCCCATCCAGTGCCTCTGACTAGTCAGCACTTTGGTTAAGTACTGCTGGAGGCTCTGTGAAGGCATACCAGCACCTCAAGCAACACTGGAGTCCTTCCCTTGGCAGACCTGAATCCGTTTGCTGTCAGTAGCTTCTGGGGATTTCTGACCTGGCAAATAAAACTGGGAGCAGGTAGGAGGTAGATAGTATTGAATCCCATGTATATCTTTACGGGGTGAGCCATGTAGTTGTATGATTGACTTAAACTAAATAAATACACACTAAAGTAGTTAACACAGGAGAAAGGGTGCCTCTGAGGTATAAGTGTTGAGATGTGATTCCCACACTTGGGAAACATAGGAGGAAGGCAGGGAGAAGAGACCCAGAGAGATAAAGAGACTTACAAAAGAAGGGCAGGGAACCAGACCTGGCTGTGATGTTACAATGACCTGTCTTCCTGCTTAGCACTTCAAATCACCTTTAATACTAAACTCAAGGTAAAGAGAGTATAAGCATGCCTTGAGCTTTACACTACACACACACACACACACACACACACACACGAGAGAGAGAGAGAGAGAGAGAGAGAGAGAGAGAGAGAGAGAGAAGGAATCCTCCCCACCTTCCTTTGAAAATGGTGATCTGATGGAGAAAGGGGAGTACTTGAAAAAATAATTATTTTTCCAAGCAATTTACTATTTTTTTTAAAAAAGTATCATTAATAATGTGCCTGTAGATGCCTAATGCCAAATGCTATCTTCCAAACATCTCAGGTATCTGGCCAGTATCTGTCTGAAGCATCACCTCATATATCTATTGATAATAGACAGTGCGGATCTGGCAGGCAAAATCTGGCACTCAGGGGGCCCAGGAAGGAGGGCCAGACGTAAAAAGTTAGACTTGGTTTCAAACAACAAAAACTTGAGACATAAAGAAAAGTACTATCCTTTGCTGCTTATTTTTTCCTGGTGGCCTTGGGGAAACTGGGAATAGAGAAACTGTAGAGGGGACACTGACCGCACTCCCAGCATGCATTCCTATAGTGTTCGCCCCTTTTGAGTAGCTCAGAAATGTTAGGAGGAAGGAAAAGGACTTCATGCCTTATAAAGGCAGATGTGATTATCAGTCTCTATTCTGCCAAAACCAGCTCGTGACCATGGGCAAGCTAGCTCAACTTCGCCAGCTGTTTCTCACCAGGAAGTCGGACCATCAGCCTGAACTGCAGACCAGTGTTGGCAAAGTCCTCTGATGCTCGCCCTTCACAGGTTCATGTGGGGAGTGAGAATGAAGGCGGCTTAAGAAGATGTTTAAAAGATTATAAAATATGTATTACTTGCAATCTGGTAAGGAAAAGAATAAAACCCAGTCTGAGAACTTCCCAGGTGTTTTGTTTCTTTTCTCTCAATTCTTGAAAAAAAAAAGAAAGCAGTCTCATAGCTATAATTGTGTGTTATTTATCCTAGCATATTTATTTTATACAACACAAACTTTTTATAACAAAGTTTAGTTAAGTAAAAAAATCATGACATTATATAGCATGTTGTTAATATGTATAATTGTTATGTTTTATGTGTCATCAAAAATACATTAATCTTTTATCATTTTAAATGCTGTAAAAGCTCTGCTAACTGTAATTTTCTTGACCACTCTTGCCTAAGCATTTAGCTTTCTCTCCCTCTCCCTTTCTGATATAATCTGTATTGTCCATCCTATTCCTCATAGGTCAAGATCTCTCTGTGTGTGTCTGTCTGTCTGTCTGCCTGTCTCTCTCTCTTTCCTCTCTTTTCATCCTTATTTTTAAGTAATATGATGTAAGTTTTCTTAACGATGTTTCCTGCTTTTCTTTGTGCATGTGTGTACTGGTGCTGGGAATGAACCCAGGCTTTGAATATGCCCCCATTTCAAAATTTCTTTAGGATCTACTTTTAAGAGTGGCATTTCTATCCAACAGTGAATATTTGAGTGGCCCTTGATACGTACTAGAAGTGTTTTAGGTAGTTTCTTGAGTGATACGTAAATCAAAGATTTCATATCAATAAATCGCTAAACGACTATGAAAGACCCCTGTAGAAACCACTGTAGAACTGGTCTTTATTTTAGTACAAGTGTTTGTTATAACTGTGGCCACACCCTGTCATATTGCTATAGTTGTTCTCTGGTATTAAAAAGGAAACCTATTTGATTTCTGTCTTTGGCTGAACTGTCTTAGTGAATGCAGTCAGAAAGAAGATAAAGTGCATGATTTTTTTCTAAAATGTTTCAATTCACATAAATTAAATACAATGTGATAGTTGTGTGATGCCTGAACTTAGAAATCAGATATGTAATTACTCCTCAGCAAACGAGATGGATCAATGGAGAAAGGGCTGGCTGCCAAATCCCACAACCTGAGTTTAATCCTTGAAACTTACATAGGGCAAGGAAAGACTGACGCCCACAAATTGTCCTCCAAATTCCACGTGGCCCCCAATAAATAAATATTTAATTAAAATAAAAATCCTCCTTTTATGAGTAGTCACATATCAAAATAATATGCAAATAATAACACCAGTCAGAGTATGATTTGATGACCATCACTCATGGTCAATAGACAATGCAAAAGCCAGAAAGTAAGTTAAGGAGAAACTCAGCAATAAACAAATTAATATCCTACATTCACTACAAGTAAGACCTGCCCTCTCTGAAAATGTGTTTACTATTGTCCCCCATGCGTGTGGGTGAGAGACAGACATGTTTACTCACTGGGCCATCTTAACACACTTTTCCCCTGCCTCTTTGTCCTTCAACATAGAAGCAACTTTTATTTGCTGATAAATCTTAGCTTCCTCCATATATAAACCTT